TGTGAAACTGCAGATATCTTCTCAAAATTTTCTCCAACCGACTTTTGGTACTACAAAAAAATAGTTGGCACCAGAAATAACACAAGGTTAGACACTTCTTTTCCCAAATAATTGAAACAAATAATTATTTAAGCAAAAAAGTACTCTGCTTCTTGTGCTCTACTCCACAAGCAACAAAAGAAGCAAAAGAACAAAGTGATTTAACATACCTCAGAACCAATCTAGAGATTTCTTCCCTAAGAATGCCTTGCCACGTTCTTCATAAACAAGGATGCCGAAAGACATATCAGAGAGAAGAGATTCAGGATCAGACTCATTCCTTGCTTCTATGAGTACTACTCAAAGATGTCTCAAAGAAAAATGATTAATGCCTTTTTCTTTCTTCAATACATAAAAAGGTATAGGGGTGTAAAAGTTATCCCTGAGATAAGGAAAATATTAACAAAATCCTTATAGGGAGCAAAAAATTTATAAAAATAGATAGAAAAATGATAGTTCAAATTCCTATTCGATCTACTATTAACAGATGCAAATATTCATGTGGGTGCAGTTTATAAGATAACAGTGCATGCACAACTGTATGCAGAAAAAAATATGAAGAAACTTCAGTGCACAATAATGACAAAGATCAGATTTAGATAACGCAACAGAAATGTAGAATAGACCCCCTGGGAAAGCATCGCATGTTATCAAGCATCTCACATGCAAGAGGTTGGGAAAACATCAAATTTTGATGTATTCTAAAAGAACAACTATTCTTAAATATTTTCTCTTGCTGAAAAGCACACAATGGGGTTTCTTTGGGAGGACAAGTTACACAGGAAGTTACAATTAACAGCTAATAATATTCATAGCCATTAACATGTGACATTCCAGGGTTGTGTTCTATGGTTCAGTAGCAGTTGGTGGTGGGGTTTTGGTGTAGCCTGCCACCCTTAGATCTTCAGCGGCTTGTAAAATCCTGCCAATTTACCACATTAAGTGCAGGGACTTGGTTTGCGACCTGAACTATGTAAAATTGTACTGTTTTGCAATGCAAATGCATGTGAAATGGTGGATGAGTTATGTTTGTCTGTGTATCAAGGGGAGAGCAGGAGGCTACTTCATGCGTGGCACATGCTGTGTATTCAAGGTGAGGTAGGCAGACTCGTTCTCCTTGCTGCTCTTGCAGTGGGCAAACTCTGATGATATGTTCAAGCTGCAGAACAGAGCTTGAACTAAAATCAGGCTATATTTTGACCTCGGGAAATGTTTGGAGTACTGAAATCAAGTTCAGAAAAATGCATAGAAAGAAATGTAACATATTCCATCCCCATTTTTCTACATTAGCTTTGACTACACGAAACAAGAGGAATGGTTACTATAACTGTAAAGGCCAAGAAGCTATGCACTGTTCTTCTATCTTGATTATTGGTTATGATTTACTTTACGCAGAATCAAACTCGGATGAAACCACAATTGACAAAGTCCACACTGAAACATGGAGTTAGCTCTATGAATTTAACCTGAAATAGTTTGTGGCCCTAAACTCGTATCTGCTCAAGTGCTCAGGTCAGGACAGCGTTGGGTGGCTCAACGACGCCATCAGCGACAAGCCCGTGCTCACCTGCCCATGCCACGTACTGATGCCTTGTCAACCCATGCACGCTGCACGCATGGCCGAGTTAAGAACAGAAGAAGAGGACGCACCGTTGGAAGTGGAGGCTGCGGGCACATGCTCCTCTTGTACGGAAGCTTCATGGGGTCCGCCGACGGGTCCCAAAGCACCTGTGGGTACACGGCACGCTGGCGTCCGCACCAGGCCTGGGCAGGGCGCTAAGTGAGAGTGGCAGCGTCGGAGGGTGCATCGAGAGGAGGTGGCCGAGTCCACCGCCACCACCGAGGTGCGCGGCCCTCGACATCGACATGCCAGGGACTCCCTGCACCTTCTGCTCCTTGATCCACAGCGGCTCGAGCTGCACCATGTTGAGGCCATGCTGTGGGGCCACACTGTGGGATCTTCTTGGGCTTGCTCTTCTTCGACGCCTGCGCCAGCGTCGGCGCCGTTGCCGTACCTCGGCAGTTGGTGATGGTGGTTGTTGCAACGACGGGGCTGCCAGCATCGACAGCACGAAGGATGGTGCCAGACGCATGATGACGTCGTCGTCCATGCTATGCTTCATGTCCGCGACTCCGGCGACAAGGTCGGCGGTGACAACGCCTACAACGTCCCCTCGCATCACTGCCGTCACCATGTGGGGGACCGCCCTGACCCCCACCTCAAGACCTAATTCACCGCCATCCATGCTGGATCTGCCTCATCTCCACCGGATTAGGGCGCCATGACGTCGGATCAGGCGCCGCCATCAATGGAGGCCGTCACGGGAAGAGGAAGGGTGGGACGGCTGGTGTCGTGGGAGACGAAGCGGTGGATGGCAGCAGGCACGGGGAGAGAAATGATGGCAGTAGATGTGTGAGAGAGGGATAAGGCGGCCGCACATGGCACGCACGGCCGTCCCTCGCCTGCCGTCGGCCAGGCGTCAGGTGCTCCAAACTCCATCGAGGAGCGAATCACCGTAGTAGAAGGTGGAGGGCGTGTCGGACGTGGGCTCGTACACCCCGAGCGGTCTGAGCAGCAGAGGGGCGCAGCGCTCATGGATGGACAGAGAGATGGAGATGGAGTGACCTGAAGGGCACCGATTGGGGGAGCGGGGAGGTGGTGCCGATTGGGGGATCAGGGAGGTGTCGCAGATTTGGGGAGCGGGGAGGCGGCGCTGATTGGCGGTGATTGGGGGAGCGGGGACACGGAGAAGATAGTTCTGCTGGGTGGAGGATCGCACGTTGGGGAAGGGATCGCAATCGAGGAAGCTAGGGACTGTGCGGGGAAGGGATCGCAGCAGGCAGAACCATGGCTCCACATTGAATGTCGCACCAAAAAGTGTCTATTCTTTAGTCTTTTTAGTTGTAGGAGATTAGTAAGGTGTACATGAGTTCCTATTTTTGTAATATGCTTTAGAATATATTTGTCGCTATTATCATAGAGAGGGGCAATCACCTTAGCCTATTACAATGGCGATAGAGGACTATATGACATCTCACATTTATCCTATCTTGACACATATCTATGGTAATGCTTTTCTTTGCTTTATATAATTAAAAGTAGATGTCCAAAAATATAGCCATACAACTCTAGACATACCATTGTGGCTTTCTTGGCTACTATAGCCAACTAAAAAACACTCTCAAAATCCTCAACTATATATAATTGTTCTTAGCCATCCCGTCTCAAATGCAACTTCACATTTATCTAACCATTGTGTTATGCTATGTATACTTGTTTAGAGGACATGTTATAGACCTCATAATTGAGATTTACTTACATATTACATCGCCTATTGTACTTTTCCTTTAAAAAAACAATTGTACTTTTCCTTTTAGAAGACGTAAGTTATAAAGACGTATTTTGTTCTATTTTTCTTTCACTTAACATCTTTTCCGCAACTTTGACCAAATCTTGATAGAAACATTTTCAACATGAATGTAACGACACATGTACCTTTATACAAACGGTAATGCTCTGTGTAGGACGTCTGTCCAGACAAACGGCCCCATTGGTGGGCCATGATGCCCATGTGGCTCTCTTATCCGCTCATATATTCGCTCCCCTTCAAGCACCATAACTTCTTAAAAAAACGTCTCAGCGCCGCGACCGCGCTCCACCGCGCCTCCCGCCCATCTTCCTCTCCACCGCTGCTCCCGCCACATCCCGCGCTGCTCCACACCCCGCGCCCTGCCCCTGTCCACTTCGCCCGTCGTAGAAGGAGAGGCAAGGGAGGCCTATGCCTGCGCCCCCATCCAGCGTGCCCGTCGGCAGGAAGTAGAGGCCTTCGCACCGCGCCTAAGGGTGTACGCTGGACCATTGCTCTCGACGTCCCCTGGACTTGAGCTTGCCGACTATCAGAGTTCCCCAATAGGTAGGTTGTGGCTACCAGCGACACTGTGTTTCAATTGTTTCATGTGTTTCAAACTTATGTTTCAAGTATTTCATCTAAATGTTGCAAATAGATCTTAGATGTTGTATATGTTGCAAACCTATGTTTCAAGTGTTTCTGGTGTTTTAGACGTATGTTTCAAGTGTTTAATCTGGATGTTGCATATGTTACTATGGCTCTATACGCATGTTTCAAGGGTATGTTTTAAGTGATTCACATGTTTGAGACTTATTTTGCAAGTGTTTCATCTGGATGTTGCAAAAGTATATCTCGATGTTGCATATGTTGTTATGACTTTACACACATGTTTCAAGCGTATGTTTCAAGTGTTTTATCTATTTCAAACGTATGTTGCAAAGTGTTTTATCTGGATGTTTCAAAAGTAGATCTGGGATATCACATGTTTCATCTGCCGCAACCACCCTGCAGCTGCAGCTGGGGGCGCCGCCGTAGGTCAGTGTGCGGGCGCCTAAGGACGACAGATGCCTCCGCGGCATGCATCTGCAAGCGAGGTAGGTGACTGGAACCCATGTGGGGCCTGGGGATGGGCATGGGGCGCGGTGCGCGAGATGGGCTGATGGAGCACGGAATGGGCGCTGGTGCGGCATGAGGACGCTAGCCCTTCCGTTATATGAAACATGTGCATATTTGGTTCAAAGTTAGTCAAAAGTATCATCTGTTCGCTTGGATTTATCCGCTCGATTTATCAATATTTCTCTCTCACAACAAAGCAGCCACAAAAAACCATAAGCCGAACAGCCCATAATGTTTAGTCTTTTCTACCTCTACTATTCTACTAATAATAATTTGCCTATAGTACTGATTATATTTTCAACTCAGTGTGACAGTGTCACGTAAACTCGTTTGTCCGTGGACGTAATTGCAATTTTCGCCCCAGGGGCCATATCCTCTCCCACAGGTTTTGCGGCTGCGGCACTCTGTCCCCAGCAGCGCCGCCTTCGTCTTCCCGGAACCCCGCCGACGCGCCCCTCCCCCCGCCCTCCTCGCCTCACCGCGCGCAAGAGCCCCATGGACACGGGCTCCTCACCCGCCGCCAGCCAGCAGACCTTCAAGGTTCGCCCTCACCAATTTCAATCCAATGACAACCCGTTCCTCTTCCTCACCTTGTCCTGACCGCCGGCGGCTTCCTCGCGTCGCAGCTGATCCTGGGGTCGTCGTCGGTGGCGCGAAAGAACATCCTCGAGGAGATGGGGCTGGAGTTCCAGGTCATGGTGGGTCGTGCTGCTCTGATGCTTGGCTTGCTCCCAACCGCCCTGATTCTGCCGATGAAATGCTTATGGGACCTGTTTGTCTTTCTGTGGTTTCAGACTGCGGACATCGACGAGAAGAGCATCAGGAGGGAGAATCCTGATGACCTGGTCATGGTCCTCGCGGAGGCCAAGGTAGGCACAAAAAAATGCCCTGCTTTTTTCGCCCCCCTTTGGTGAGACAATGCTCTGGGTTGTGCTAAGTTGTAGCTTCAGACCTTCAGTATTACAGACTCGGGAGTTCTGCAGTTACATCCAGTTGCCAATGTGATGATTTGTATGGCTCAATTGAAAATGCGTTGCTGGGTGCTGCAAGTTTTTGCTGTAATGTTCTACTTGTAGTAAGACAGTAGTCCCTTTGTGCGTTGTATTGGGAGTTTAAAATAAAATATTGTTTTTTTCATTTTGTGTTATAATGATACTATGTGATGCCTGTATTTTCTTCAATCTGCACTAGAACACACATGAAAGTTCAGTAGTTGGTACCTTTGTTGTTTGCAAGGACCTATAAAAAGGCCTTTCTGTTGGAATAACCCTCATCAACAAGATAATATTTCTCTGAATATATAGAAATATTGTTCAGCAATGAATGCAGGAATTTTGTACATAAATCGGTTTGAGAACAAATAAAGTATACTTCAGGTTCAGGGGTAGTGGAAACTTATTTGAATGCTCGACCAAAGTAATCAGTCAATATACATGGTCATGTGCTGAACCTGGCCATCCAGCAACAAAGAAAGTTATCCTGTTCTTAAGACTGCTGAATGCATCGATCATATAATTATACTTTTGTGTTTGCAGATGATGATTACGAAGTCTTAGATGAATCATCATATTTTTCTGAATTTTTTTCGGCTTTGTATTTTCCTACTCACTTCTTCAGTTGGCTTCTGAAGTTGTTCTGGATTTGCATAACTATGTTGATTTCAAACCATTAGTTTTTACCATATTACCATGCATGCTTTTAAATAAAGTCAACTCGTTTTATAAATTTTCTAAGAGCTTCTAGGATACAATTTGGTTTCTCAACATACCATTCATATCCTTTTTAAAGGTACATGAAAACTAATACTTCTTTCTGTGGGAGGACAAGGAGGCTAAAAAAAAAAAACTTCGACCTGCAGGGGGTAAGCCACCCCCGGGCATTGCTGTGATAGAGAAGACCTTCTCACACAGGCCGAGAAAACCCCCGAACCCCTGCCCCACCCTGACATAGGGGCACCGTTGCCCTGTGAGAACCGGGCCGGGCCTTTTTGACCTGTGCTTTGGCCGTGGGACAGACGAGGGGATTTTTTTGAACCCCAGCCTGAAATTCGCTCCCACGGGGAGTCGAACTCAGGACCTGAAGAGTGCCGCCGATGCCACCTAACCAGTTCAGCTAGGCACCATTTTGCAAGGAGGCTAAAGAAAATGTCCAACCAAATTGAGCCCTGGTTGTTTTTTTAGCACCAACTATTTTTTCTCCCCCAGCATGGAGTTAACCACTTTAAGCATCTTTCAGGCTGATGCTATCATGTCCAGACTAAACCTTGCTGATTACCAGAAAGAAGGCAATCAACCAACACTCCTGATCACTTCTGACATAGTATGTCTCGATTACCTCTGCAGTCCTAATTTGGGTAGAATTTGTATGCCACAGTTGTGGATGTGTCTTCTCTATTTTTTTGCTAGTATGTTATCATTTGTATGATTACATACTGAATTGTAGTTGACTTTGAGGTGGTCGTCCATGAAGGGATTATTAGAGAAAAGCCAACCACCAAGGAAGAAGCACGCCAATTCCTGAAAGGTTTGTTGTCCACTAAACGTCTGACTCACATTGTTTTAATGCATTTGTTTATTAAGTGAATCATTATCTTCAGGCTATTCTGGAGGTCATGTGTCAACTGTTGGATCTGTAGTTGTAACTAATCTTACAACTGGGAAGAGACTTGGAAGTTTGGACAAAGCTGAGGTAATTTTATCTTTTTAGCCAAAAGGACTCTTTCATCAATGCTACCCTTGTTATGTTGCCATTCAAATCAGATTTACTAGTTCAGAAGGATAGATGGTCCAATTTAGATGCGTAATTGATATATCAATATAGTTTTTAATAGAAATGAATTCACCAATGTAGGGGGGTGTGACAGAACCGCTCAATTTATACAAGATCAAGTACGGCTGTCCCTGTTTAACACGTTGACACGCACATACTTTCACTTATATAAACCCGGTAGTACACCGAGTGTCACGAAGGACCTCGGTAAATCCACGTCATAACCAAGACCGTAATAGATTAAGCAAATACACATCACATACACGGAGTTGCAGCGGAAATAATGTTTACAATTGAGTTCACAAATAATAATATGTTGCCAAGTTTACAAATATGATAGCTAAAACAACATAGCTTTAAAATGGTTACAATAACATAAGTTTCAAATACACCGCTAGCAAAAGTAACATCCTCCAACAATAGCATATAGATGAGAAATAAATATAGAGTCGCCGAGCCACCGGCAGTTAGCCACCATCTTCCGCAGGCCGAGAACTTCACCTGCAACATGGTGGGATAAACCCTGAGAATTCGAATGTACTCAGCTAGACTTACCTGTCAGGCGAAAAATAAAAAGACTCTCAAGGACATACAAGGCTTATTTCGTGGAGCTGGTTGGATAGCATAACTTTGCAAAAAGAGCATTACTATCATGAGTCCTTACTTTCAATATTTTAGTCAACATTTTAGCATCAAGTTTAGTTAAGCTTATTATGGCTAACTTTGCACCTATTCTAGAGCAATCACTTAATTAATAAGCATCACAATAGCAACCATACCCGGTTTATCATATAATTATCATAACCATCATATTCCATCCAGTGTTGCTACGAATGAAGGAAGTCTGGTCAAGTTTATCACTATCCAGGAGAGACGGCGATTCGAATCGATTGCAACCAGCTGGGCAGAAATCCTAACACAAATCCAGGCGTACCGCCCGAAGGTAGCCTTAGGTCACTTTTGGTATAACTCAGGACTTATTTCGCGGGTTCGATCAGCGTCACACACTCAGGTACTAACCAGCTGCCAGGACGCTCAGGCCCAGCCTGCCCTTGGTCTCATATCCAGCTCCCCGCACATCCTTACTACCTCCAGTGTGCACTCTCGGACAGAACGACTCCTGGCCTAAGTTGAGCTACTCGGCTTTGCGGTCAGAATGAGTTATCCAGCCAGCTAAGTGAGAGGTTGTGTTCAAAATGACCGAGGACCAACAACGATGCGGTCCTTAACCGAAACAGACGGGATAAAACATGCACCCAAGACCTCCATGTCTTGCTGCCTCTCAATCACCAGATCCCGTCCGGTCTCCATTTATTCATCACCACATGATTATTTTCCATGATAGCAACTATAGCCAACCGTGACCAGGTATCCACCTATCTTGCAGGTGTCAGGAAATTACCCACTTCTACCGGTCTAAGCATGGCAAAGCATAGGTCAGCCTATTCATCTAGTAAGGGTACCGGCATTTATATATATAGTGGACAAGGTAGGAAATATGCACCAACGGCTTCATTCGACTCCTATCACCTAATGCAGCATACAAAAGTTATACTTATGTGCATTTGTAAAAAGAGAGGATATGAGACTTAGAATGCTCCGGGGCTTGTCTGGGATCCAACACTAGGTCAATGTTTGTTAGATGACACTCGCTTGGCGAGCATCTCCAGTTCAGGCATAAACTCTCAGGGTCCTTCCATCTTCTGGATCCGTCCACCAACACACCATCTTCGGGACTTATCCGCCAACACCGTCTTCTGGTTCGATTCCAACATCATGTCCTTCCACCCTTCATGTGGTTCATCTAGCGTACCTAAATGAGATATACAATGCAGAGATATGAATGCAAAGAATAGCCGCAAGGGATGCATCATATAAAAGCATTCAAAACAAGCTTAAGGTTACACAAGAAGGCATAGCATCTAGAGTTGTTTAACTAAACATCACATAATCTATTATTGAAAGATAGGAAACATCAAGCATGGCACACAAGTTAACTTAAGTTTAGCTATTACAAGCATTCATCAATCAAGAATTAACTAAACATGTTTAGCCAAAACAAGAGAAAGCTAAAGCAATTAACTTAGCACATGCCTAGAATCTGGTCAGCAACACAAAAGCACTTGTTTCAATCATAACTGGAGTTATAGGCATCAAACAAAGGTGATCCTAGACTTTCTGAAAAGCTTAGAAAGTTGTCCACAACTTTGTTATTTACACCTGGAGCTGATTCAAAGGTTAATAAGGTTGAAAAACACTAACAAACAGATCTACACAAATTAGGACAGAAAACTGACATGAAATTCATAAATGCATAACTGAAGTTCTAATCATCCAACAAACATGACCCTTAACATTCTAAAAAGCTTATTAAGTTATCTATAATTTTCTTATTATCATATCTTATTATCATATTAAGATGGTTTAACAGCCAACAAGGTCAGACAACACAATGAAGACATCTGTGTCCAGATTTGGACAGAACCTGTCATTCCACTTTGAACAGCTATAATCGGAGTTCTAGACCCGCAAAAGTGGTGCTCTTAGACATTTTGGAAAGCTTAACAAAAACACTACAATTCTTCTATTATCACCAATACATAATTCCATGTTTAAATAAGCCAAAAAAATACAATCATTCAGATCTGTTCAGAGGACATGCAAAACCTGTTAGCAAACTTCTAAAATCTATAACTCATAAACCAGCAGGCCTAAAATCATGAAATTTTAAGACAGGCAAGATAAGGAAATTATCTACAACTTTGATATTCACCACATTTACAGAAAACATCATTTGCATCACGAAAATATCATCACCACAGAAAATGTATATGCAGCCATAACAGCAGAGATACAACTATATGCATTTATCATTTATGTTGTTAACAACTAACATTTTGTTGCTATATATGTAGCTCCTAATCATAACCAAGCAATCACATTACTTAACACCAATTATTAGAAATATTACATGGCATAAACACATGCATCTATTAACAAACTTTCATCCTCTACTTATATAATGCAACATATATATTATTTTTAGGTGATATTTTAAACATAGAGTTGAGAGTTGGAATTTTTACAGGTGAAAGGTGATATCAAAACATGGCTATCATAGAAATATTACATGCTCAGGTTTTATAAATCAATCATTATAATCAAAACAAGTTTTAATTAAAAAAAGACACGTGAGAGCAAGAAAAATCTAAAACTCAACATTTTCTATAAACATCCTAGCCATATTATGTATCAACATGACATAACCACATTAGACCAAGGTACATTTTCCATTTTTACACCTTCATAATAATTATAACTTATTTAAAACCATTTATCAAACATTAAGCATGCTAAATCCATAACTCAATCATACTGCATCCAATGAACATGACAATTTTACCACACCACACATATGACATCAGTAGTCTACCATAAAAATTTCACAGCCATTGAAGCACCACAACTTAAGATATGAATTTATTCCTAGAAAACCCTAATTTACAAAAATAAATAAAAACAGCAGAAACTTTCTACTAAAGCATGTCATATTTTGACTCTACTGCATAGATATACTCTCAAGAATTCCAAAATATCTTTATTTGCTATTTTACGATTTTTCTACGATTTACTATGATTTTTCAAAGTTTTAGCCCATTAAATGCAATAAAGGAAAAGATAAAAGAAAAACATATTTGCACTGAGGACCCTAAACTTTCCACTAAACAGATTCCAGCAAAAAGGTCCTTTAAGGCACTATTCACATGAGTCATAGATTTTGCATCTGGACCCAAGAAAAAGCTTCTATTTCCATTTTATTCCCTCTCCTTCACGGGAACGGAGCAGAGCACGACGGGCGGAGCCGATTTCGGCCGGTCGGGGCGGTCCCCGGCGGAGGCGAGTGGCGGGGGAGCATGGGGGCTGTCCACCGTGCCCGAGGGTGGCACCAGCTGGGCCAGGGACGGGCCTAGGCGGCTCGGCCATGTGCGTGCGCAGCGCACGAAGGTGCAGCTTGGGCGGCGGCCGTCTGCAGCGGGGATGGGGCCGGGAAAAGGGGGCGCCCGGGGGTGGCGCGTTGCGGTGGAGGAGCTGCCTTACTCGGTTGTGTGGTGGTTGGCTACGAGGACAGAGAAGGGAGCGGCGGCAGCAGAGCTCTGCTCGGCGGAGCTCGGCGTGCCCGCAGACACGCGCCATAGGGCGAACGGGAGAGCCAAGGAGAGTGAGAGCGATTGATGGAGAGGGGGAAGCTCGGGCGTCCACTTCTGGAGGGCGTAGAGAGAGGCAGGGCACGCGTCGGCAATGGTGGGGCGCGAACTCGTGCATGATGGCCACGTCGGCATTCTGTCGAGCACGTGGCGGGCGACGGTGTGGGTATGGTGGGCGCCGATTTTAGGCCAGCTACGGGCCGATTTGGCGAACGGGCCTTGAAGCAAAGTTGCTTATCTCGGGCTGCTCTACAAACCTTATTTAAGATGTGAAGTCATTAGAGCCACGGATTCGGAGATAATCAGCACCAAACTTGATAGTGTTAGCGAGAAAACGAGGATTAAGGAATAGCTCGGTTTTTGTTAGTTTTGGGAGGTCAAACTTGGTCAAACTAATCCCAACCTTTTGTATGTCCTTCTCCAAGATGTAAACTCCAAATTTTATTTTTGGATCAAATCATGTTGCTGAATAAAAATCCGAGAACGCGAGATGCCAATGTCAATGACGATGAATTCCGGACTTAGAATTATTTAGAGCCCAGAAAACAGCAGCTGGTTCAGGTTTGAAGCCTTTATTTGACAAGCTTGGAGGAAGATTTAGACTTGGGTCTTTAAACAAAGTTTGTTGTACACATCTTGATCTGCAACTTTTCTTAAAGGTTAAACCTCAGATCTGGTCAGATCTGGTACAGAAGCTATCATTCCACTTCGGTCAAAGCAGTATCTCAATAAAGCTTTAAATTATGCTTTTTGGTCCATTGAAGCATTTTCTTGACATTTGCTCAACATGAACCTTTCATAACTTTTGTTCATGAGTTGAATTAGGTCTGTTTGAGAAAGGTTGCAAGGTTTGGTCGACATCCCATGTTTCTATTTACCCCATGAATCAATTCTAGAAAGGTTATAACTTATCATTTCATGTGACTTCTTGGCTTCAAACTTCATGAAACTTTTCCAATGGTCAAGATAACTAGATATTAAGGTGATGCTCATGAAAGAGCCATGGTTAACACTACTCAAGCATACATTTAAAAAGGGTCAACATATAAGCAAATGTGTGTTGTCCAAGTTTAAGTTGGAGCTCATTTTCATGGATTTGACCTTAACACCTTCATCACCACTTCCGAAATAAGGAACTAAAGCTCCTGATTATCCACTTATCCTGTCATGTTTGAGCTCAAACCCACTGCTTAGCATGTGGCTAACACCTGGGTTGTTACCGGGGGGTGTATTTGGTATATGAGATTCTTCAAATTTATTGTGTCAAAAGGAATTTTTTGTCTTAAATGTGATATTTGTGGATGATAATTGACCAAGGAAGTTTTGCATTGTCATTCTACACTCCGCAGGTTTATTTCCACGATATACCAGCTGAGGTCATCGAGAACTTGGTACATGCTCATTTATTCTACTTCCATGCCTTTTATAAATAGCAGCAGCCAAAATAATTGCTGGATTACCATCACGAGGTTCAATATTTTCATATTTGTCATGTTGTTATGTCACTGACCTTTTCTCTTCCCTGTTTGCTAGATCGATGAGGGAGTAGTATTTAGGGTCGCAGGTGGCTTGCTACTTGAACATCCATTGACCCTTCCATTTGTCGAAGCAGTGGTCAGTGTCTCATTCACCTTATCTTGGTTGTCTTATAGGGTTTTTGTTTCCATTCATACAAATGTGAACAAGCCTTGACTTGTGCAGGTTGGTTCTAGTGATAGCGTCATGGGGCTCTCAAAGGAGATCGCAAACAAGCTAATTCACGACGCACTGTCTACTTAGCATAGCAATTTTGGAGCTATTGTTTCTGATCAAATTCTTACTGCACTCGCCCGGAGATGACATCACACAGAAAGCATATCTGGGGATACCTCATAGTGAATCAGTTATTCTTGTATTTTTCTTTATTTAAATGTTAATCGAAGACAGGCACACCTGTGGAGTGAGCAAGGACTCTCCAATCCCATGACCTGCCATTGCAAATTGTGATCAGGTTGTACTTACAGCCTGTTTCACTTGGAAGGATATATTGATGCTTCTATAAGTGGGGCAATTTGTATGATTTGTAATATACTGATATATATAATCTCGTCTCTGATTTGTGATGCTGTGCTCTTTGCCTCTTTGCAATTGTTATACAGAGCACAACAAGTGTAGGGATGAAAATGAATCGGATATGAACTGCTATGTACGGATACGAATACATGACCGCGGGCATTAAGTGTTAGATAGCGTTAGATATCCAACTTTGAGTGTTTAGATTTGAATATGATATGGGATATTGAATGTTTGGTTAAGATACGGATTATAGCTGTTGTTGATTTCAATTTCTACATTCTAGGTAGGGGTGAGCCATATATGTTCTGAAGTTATGTCCTAGTAGGTCACAATTTCAGAAAGGGGCGGGGGCTACAATTTCATAACGAATCCAGGGGCATTTAACATGGATGCACCAAAAAAAAAGTCCAACTTTTAGGTAAAATATCCAACACTTTGTAGTAAAGTTTTCTCTTTTATTTGGGAACTAACTTTTTAAATTAGTTGGTTAGGTTTCTTATGGCGGAGACTTGTCTATATGAGTTCAAGTTCTCAATTTGGCATGTGATGCTTGTGTTTTTATTTATTTTACTAGGTAGCGTGTCCGTACATTGCTACGGGATAGCTAACAATTTATACTAAAAACACACGGATCGTACGATAAGATAATAGTACTGTAAAAATTAAATACCAACGTTAAAGTACATTTCATTTAAAAAACAAAGTTTGTAAAATCAACATAGACACGGAGAACGCGGCGTCGCAGGCTCACAAACTCTACTTTATAGACTTTTTCGTGATGTGGCTAAAATAATGTTTTATATCGGTATGGAAGAAATCTCCGATATCCATTTCTTTCGTGAGCCAATAAATCCGATATCCATTTCTTTCGTACGCCAATAAATCCACGAATAAGTTCCGCCGCATCTCCGTACCATCCTACACACAGGTTCAAGTATATATGTAAATATTAGTACCTGTCATATGGACAATACTGCGTGTCTTGAAAAATCTCTCACAAAACCTTAAAATAAAGTATGTTATACTCACCATATATATGTGTGGCTTTAGGTATATTCCACGTAGACATATACCGTAGAATAAAGTATGATTGTTTACATTACCGTGGTATTATTTTTTTTCTTTGCACAATAATTTAATCGATTAGAAAATAATCGTTACCCAACACTTCAAGGATTACAACTGATGTCCTTTCTTACGTGCAATAGCTTTGTCGTGTATCAAAGAAACCTTCTTCACAGAAAACCAACACAAGATGACATGCATTGAAGGCAAACATGATTAAGGGCTAAAACAAAAGATAAAACCCACGCACAACCTGGCACTGCCGGCACATAGTCACACATGTCACGCATGGGTCTTGTGTATGTGCCTAAAAACCCGAGATAATATAACAAAGAATAACATGATATATGACAAAGTAGCTAATGCTATGTGCATAAACATATAGCAGTGCCAACATCTCACAGATCACATTTGCCAAGTAAACAACATTGTCCTCACATAGCTACAACTGATCATCGATTCCGTTCTAGTAATCAAGGGAGCATCAAGTTCTAATTCTCAGCTACAACTCCCATTCTCACTGCTATCATCCACACGAGAAAAATGTTCACCTGAACGCACTGCACTAGAGACGTCCTACACTTGAGTCTATCCTGAGGCAGGTAATCCTGCAGCAATGTCACTCTAGCCAAGGCAGCCGTTGACAAACAACTGACACATCGAAGCACCACGCGGGAACTAAATGCCCTTCCCCTTCACTTTATTCTTAGGTGAAGTAACAATGGAGGCCAGCTTTGGCTGGTTGGGGATTTTGAATTTGCCATGTGAGATCCCAACGACATGAAGGGTTTACATCAACAACTTGAACCTGCATGAAGAATGAGACTGGGTTACATTGTTGCCCTTGATTATCAGATAGTATACATTAATAATGCAAATACTAACAGCCTTGTTCCCCAAAAAAAGAGAGCAATTTGACGATGTGTGCAAATCAGCAGAAGATCATTCTGTTTCTTCTCTAATAAAATGAATCATTCATCAAAAGATCCTCAACTCAAGGCCCAAATATACATATATCCTCAATTGTAGTAATATCTGAAGTCTGATTTTTTTGGGAGCGATGTGTCAACAAAATATCAATATGATCCATGATGATGACAATATTTGCTACATTTAAGCATCTTACGTAAGTCTAGCTTAATGATTAGAATACAAATCATAAGGTGGTATTATCAATAAGCCCTGAAGCCTCTAAAGAAAGATGTTCTACTTCCCAATGCTAAATACTGAAGATTCAAGAGCAAAACTGAATGATGAAAAGAAGAAAAACTGCTCTGCAAAGTTTTTTCAAGAACAAGCCTGAAAGTATGACTGTGCTAGGTGGGTGTTTCCTTGTACTAAACTGCAATTGATTTTTTACAAGAAGGCAAATGATAATAGTTTAGTACCATTAAGATATTAATCATTCATTTTGGTGCAATAGGTGTACTGTCAAAATGCAGTACTGAAAAGGTCCGCGGTGTTGTATAATATTTTTGAGTCATATACTAAAACTAATTAGTCACTTACCGCTGCTAAGCGACACTCCACAAATCAACCTAGATCCCAGCGGCTAGCGAATTATTTCGTATAGCAATGAACACCAATCACTCCTATATGCAAGCTATTATGACAAAATCAGTTTGCATGACCCCAAACTGAAAGCCTGGTCTGCAGGAACATGCATTCAGTCCTAACCTGAAAACCAAATAATAAGAAAGAAAAATTAATACTGGTATACCAAACTGAAAAAATGCAGCCTAAAACCAAACTGAGTTCGAAACTATGAATGGTCTGAGTGCACGGCTGAATTACCTGATCACTGGGATTGGTCTGAGTGAATCAAAAATCACCATGAATTAAAGTCACCTAAGACCAAATATGGTACATGAGATGCAACATGAGACAAATAAGAGGAGAACCTGCACAGAACACAAACATTGAGATAAGAATAATGCTATGGTATGCTATTGAACATTCATAAGAGAATATATATAGCATATTAAAAAAAGAACACTGAAACAACATCTGCTATTGAGCACAACACAACATCTGTAGCTTGAAGGATTCTAGATCTCTTGATTTTCTTGAGAAATAGAGGCAGTCATTGAAGTAAAGAGATTTCTTTTTCTTTTGAGAAATAGAGTCATTGAAGTACATATTTTTTTTGAGAAACATAGAGGCAGTCATTGTGAAGTACACAAATATATACATTTTAAAAATAGGCGCTTGTCAAGCTGCTATTGTTCAGTCAAAACTTGCTCACATATAGATACACTTGAAGGGGGGGCTGTGTTTGGTGTGTTTAAACAAAAATGAAAGGTAAGCCTTTGCCGATTAGGAGAAAACCGAGTAATTCCAATATCTCTCGAAGCAAAATGTACTTGGGCCTTACTGTCCTCATCAACCCAAAAAATATATTCTCTTATGATCCTCACCACAACAAGTGCAACTCCTATGACTTTGTTTGCGCAGCCAAAAGGGAATTTGACAAAAGGGTGGGCGCCCTGATGAAACCAACTCCTGCACAGTTATTCACCTGAATGAATCATTGGAATTAGTCTTATACCATACAGCAAACATGAAGAAAGAGAGGTCAAGGCAGTTATTGAACTATCTTAGATTTGCATTGCTTCCTTCACAACATATTTCCTGAAATCAAATGTGAATGAATTCTTTCTAGCTAAGTGGAAAATAGAACCTACCTTGAATCCATCTTCATGTGATGGGCATTGAAGAAGAAAATGGTTGCTGCATACAGACATACAGAGGCATATACTTAACCTATGGAAATGATGGGAACAAAAAGGCCCCTTAACAGCATGTATACGTATTGTACTACTGAACAAAATGTGACTGAAGGTGTTGGGTGTCAGACTATCACTACTAATGATGTGTGGTACCCATGTTTTTTTTGGTATTTACAGATTTAACAGATGCTAATTTATAATATAGGAACTAAGGAACTCAATGGCGCTTCCTATGAAAAATAATATATTTACAGGGTTTTCATAAAGATATCACAAACTGGTATTCTCTTTCCTCCTAGATCATGTCTAGTACAGCAAGTTCATTCCTCTTTCCTCCTAGATCATGTCTATATTCTCCAATTATATCCATCTCTAGTTGATATGTATTCAGTATTCTTAAACGTAGAGAAATATCCAACTTAGAAAAGTAGAACTTGTTTGTTCTAGACGCCTGCGCTTGTCCCGTCGTGCTGTTCGCCCTGACCGTTGCGCCTCACCTCCTCCTGCGTGCCTGCCCCAGCACCCACCTACGCGCCCTGCTCCCTCAGTCTCGCATGCGTCAGCAGCACCCTCTCTCTATTGCATGCAACTACGCATCAATTTTTTCTCTGCATGCACGGTTCCCATGCGAAATTTATCTGCTCCACTCATGGAACGGCGCCTGCCCTGCATGCAACTGTTGTGCCCGCACGCTCACCCTTGCATGCCACATGGAACTGCTACGCCTACACACGCCGTGCATGTACGCATGCAGCTGCGCGCCACATGCATGTTGATGCGCATGCAGGTGGGGACCACCCACGCTCGCTTCGCTCCCCGCGCATGTGGGGACAGCCTCTGCATGCGCTCGCTTTCTACGCCTGCTAATGTTGCAACATGAACCACTCCTGCAACATACATCTAAAACAAAGTGAAACATTTAGAAACATA